CCACCTGGAGGGTTTTTAGGAGATCGCACTGAAAATAGGACCCTGCGGGAGCCAGGCACTGCAAGAGGGCTCTCTGAAGGGGGTGGGACAGCAGAGGGGGAGGGTCGCCCAATGATGCTGTGCCCCTCCTCAAAGAACCACAGAGATTTCACTAGGAGGGAACCATAGCAGAAATCAAAGGAAGATGCTCCACTCTGCAAGCTGAGCACACCCCAAACCCCTCCGCAGCACCAAGGAGGTACTTTCTCACAGGTTCTGCTTGATGTACACATTCAAAGTGGGGCGAGTTCAGGGCAATTCAAGGTCAATGGATCTACATAATCAGAGCTGAGTTCAAGATGGTAGGTTTGGGGAAAATAATATAAAGAAAGGCCACACTGGCTAGACTGGAGAAAGTTCTGGAGTGTGGGAGGAGCATGGGAAGCAGCTACTTTATGTGGGAGATTATCAAGAAAGTGAGAAAGCAGAAGAGAGCTTTGCTGGTGGCTGAAGAATGTTACCCTCTTTGGGTGTTTCCTTGAGAGACTACAAGGAAGATAATAATGGCTTTCCACTAGTTTTTAGGTATGTCTGACTACCAGTCTTTGGCCACAGCTCCCTACTAAGATTGAGCCACATGGTACAGGCTGAAAGCTCACCACCAAATATCTATTCTTCCTTTTTTTATTACTTCCCAGAATAAAGACCCATTTCTTAGGCTGACTTCATCTAAGTGAGCCCCAGGGACTAAGTTCCAGCCAACGAAGACTAAGAAGTGTTGTATTGTTCCTGGAAAGTGGCATACAGGATGTCCTTCCCCCTTTCCTTCAGCCTAGTGCCTGGAATGAGGCCAGAGCCCCAGCAGCTAGCTTGCACAAAGAGGTGGCATTGAGGAGGAAAGTTATTGCTGGATGGTGAAGCAGAAAGAGAGAACAAGCCAGGATCAGCGATGAACAGGAAGCTATCCTACTAAACGTGGAATGACTACGTCCATGCTTCTTTGCAGTGAGAAAGACGTACACATCTTTCCTGACCAAGCCACTGTTATTGTGTGTTTCAATCTACTCAGCTGAAACTATTCATAACCCAGATCCATAGAAACAGAAAGTAGATTACTGGTTTATGGAGTTTAGGGAAAGGATGAATATGGAGGGTTTTTGGTTTTGTTTTTGTTTTTGGAGGTGAGGGGATGATGGACATGTTCCAGAATTAGGGAATGGTGCTAGCTGCACAACCTTGTCGATATACTAAAAACTACTGAATTTTGTACTTTAAAAGAGTGAATTTTGGGAGTTCCCTGGTGGCCTCATGGTTAGGATTCCGGGCTTTCACTGCCATGGCCTGGGTTCAATCCCTGGTTGTGGAACTGACATCCTGCAAGCCATGCGGCGCAGCCAAAAAAAAAAGTGAATTTTATAGCATGTGAATTATATCTCAGTTTTTAAAACGAAACACATAGAAATGTGTCCAAATTATTACTTTGTATCAACCCTCTCTAAATGGTGAAATTAATGCCTAATTTAGTAAGAGTGCCCCCCCACCCCACAAAAGACATGTCCACCCAGAACCTCGGAATGTAGTCTTATTTGCAATTTGCAGGTGTAATTCAGATAAGAAGCTTGGGGCTTCCCTGGTGGTGCAGTGGTTAAGAATCTTCCTGCCAATGCAGGCGACATGGGTTCGAGTCCTGGTCCAGGAAGATCCCATGTGCCGCGGAGCAACTAAGCCCGTGAGCCACAACTACTGAGCCTGCCCTCTAGGGCCGGCGAGCCACAGCTACTGGGCCCGCAAGCCACAACTACTGAAGCCCGTGTGCCTAGAGCCCGTGCTCCACAACAAGAGAAGCCACCGCAGTGAGAAGCCCGCGCACCACAGCCAAGAATAGCCCCCGCTCGCCGCAACTAGAGAAAGCCCGCGCACAGCAACGAAGACCCAACGCAGCCAAAAATTAATTAATTAATTAATTAAATTTTTTTTAAAAAGATAAGAAGCTCAAGGTGAGATCATCCTGGATTAGGGTGGGCCCCAGATCCAATAATGAGTATTCATACAAGATACAGAAAAGGAGAGACATACAGAAGGAAAGGTGACATCAAAATGGAGACAGAGATCAGAATTATGCAGCAGTATGCCAAGGATTGTAGGCAGCAACCGGAAGCCAGGAGAAAGGCATGGAATGGTTCCCCTCAGATGCTCCAAAAAGAACCAAGCCTAGCAACACCTTGATTTCAGACTTCTGGACTCCAGAATTGTGAGAGAATAAATTTCTGTTGTATTAAGCCACTCTATTCGTGGTACTTGGTTACAGCAGCCCTAGGAAACTAACACAAGAAGGCCATTTTTGCTAACGTCAGAAATACTGCTTTATGGATGGTAAAATTAACACAGGGACAAGCATAGGTGATGTACAAAGATGGAGAATTGATACCATCAGTCTGTCTTGAATACTAATATGTCTCAAATAAAACAATAAAAAGCTGTTTTGTAGTTGAAATCTTATAAATTCATGAAGTTAGCATTTACCATATTAGTAAGTTATAGAGATCTCTATTCCCTACTGGCAGGCAGACTTTGCACTCTACTTAAATGTGTAAGGGCTGAGTGATTGCTGAGTCAGTCAAATCCAGTCTCTTCTATACCTTACCTGTAGAAATATGCGCATCTCTTTATGCAAAATAAAACAACAAATTAAACACACAAGCCAACTTTATTTACTTTCCTGTCTCTCCTTCCCTTTTCATCCAAGTATTCCAGAAGACTAGGCCGCCATCTTTCTTTCTACTTCTCTGGCATTTCTCAGCCTACTGAAACTTGGCTTTTTGTCAGAGCCTTCACTCACTACCACCATGATCTGCTAGTATACACGCTCAAGCCTTAGATGTCCCAAAGCCAAGTGTAGCAAATAGTCATTCAGTCTTCATCTCACTGCTGCCCTTGATGCTGTTGATCACAGCCTTATTCTGGAGTCCCTTTGCTCTCCTCATATCTCTATTTCTTTTTAGTCTCTTTCCTGACAATTTCACTCATCTTCTTGAAATTCCCCAGCGGCTCCCCAGGACCCAGATGAAAAGTCCAAGCATCCTAGCGTGACACACGTGACTCATTTTCATTCTCTTCTCCAATCTGTCTATATTTCAGTTATTCCCATTCTACCTCCACAATGTTTACCTGTCCACATGTCACCTATATGATCCATTTTCTTCTTTAACTTAACCACCTTTTTAACTTAAAGGAATTTAATTATTTTAAAGGGAATTTTATATGATTTCAACAGAATGTGCCACAAATGGGAGATAACAATAAAACAAACACTGTATTAACAATAAAACAAAACGGTATTAGTAGGTACTATTGCTGGTACTCAGCACTGAGCATAAGGCTTATTCTTTGTTTAAAATGTAGACCAGCAAGTGTTCTAGGACATAATAACCTCTAAGATTTTCTCCTTCATGGTGAAAGAATTGAAAGAAAAACTAAAGGGAACCCGTTTTTTTACTTTAGGATTGAACATCATATAATACCCCATTCTGTATCTCCTAGAAGCATTCCGTATACAGAATGCTTCTGCTCTCTTCCTGCTTCCGCTCTCTTCCTGTTTCCGCTTTCTTCCTGCTTCCGTTCTCTGCTACACGAAGTGCGGGCTCCTCTCACCCCAGCACCACTTCTAGTTCACAGGGTTGTCTTGGCCCAGGCCTCCTATGGCTACTCTCACTACACTTAGCCGGGATCATGGCTTAGCACATCTGCCTGGGAACCTCTGATGGCGAGTCACTGTGTCCCTCACTTGAGAGGGCCACCGCCACCTGCTCCCACAGTGTGCTCTCCCGAGTGCATCTTTAGCTACCTTCCGTATCCCCCAAGAGCGCAAATGGAACTTCAGGTTCCGGGGTATGGGTGTGATCTAGGCCCCTGCGCCTGCACCTCCTGCAGCCCCTGCCAGCCAGGGAGGGAGCAACTGCGTGCTGACATCAGGGATTCTCGCTGACCCACCGGACACACCCAAAGGTCAGTCTCAATGTATGAGAGGGGTGTCCAGGATACATACTTCTGATATTTTCTCCCCACCCAGGCCCCCTATCAGATACTTTCCCTAGCCTCCCCCTTCCTTTACATTCAAGTATGTCCACTCCCCTGGGTGGAGTCTGCCCTCCCCTTCTCTAGGGAAATAAGCCTTTACCTAGTGGCCTCCTCCTGATGCCAAAAGGGCTTCAGGGGGAAAAAAGCTAATGACTCAGAAGGGAGAATAGAGTGGGAAATATGCCCTAAAATATTGTCCTGCTACACAGACTCAAGTGCTGGCTTCACTCCAGATTCCTTTTCCCAACTGGTCTGTGTCCAGATTCAGAAACATTCCAAAAGTCCATTTCGGAGCCCGTGTCTGCAAAGAGCGAGGACATCATTGTTGCCCGCTTTCACGACACGGGTATCTGCCAGGGGTGGCACGCGTACATGAAGTTACGTATTATTGCCAGTGGCACACATACGTGATATTTAAATATTTTTATTAAATCCCAAGTTCTAATTTCGTTCTTCTCTGTATTCATTAGAAGCCGAACACCTCGAATCCAGGAATCATATCACCCCAACCTGTCTGCCCTCTTCACCATTTGGTGTGACACATCGCACAGCACAACCCACACCTGTCTTCTCAGTGAACACTTCTGTTCATTTTCTCATTTTCTCTAAGCAAATTCCTATGTGAAAAATCCCTACATGATCCCTACCATTATAGTCACCCACACTTTGAAGAAATCTTTTTATTTTCTGTACATCACATCACCCCTTTTAGACTGACTTTTCACCCAGCAACTATGGCTTCACTTCAAATATTGAAGAGACACGAAATTGATCGACTATGCTGATCTGTGGAATGTTTGCATTTTTCTCACAACTCTAGAAAATCAGAGGAAATTTTCAGCTTTTTTTTCCTGGTGTGTCCCTTTTAAGGCTCTCACGCTTTTGCATAAACTTTTATGGAAACACACACAGACAGCGACAAGGAAATGCAGCTGAGCACTTGCCTTAAGCTCATTGGTGTCAGCCAGTTTGGCTCTGAGCTCAGTGTTCAATTCTCCACACACACTCAGCTCCTTCTGCAGCCTCTCCACCTTCTTCTGCAACTTCCTGATGGTGACATTGCCCTCGTCCCTCTCCACAGCCGATGCCGAATGCACCTGCTTCACCTCCTCCAGCTGGGCTATTTTTTTGCCGGAGGAGGTTCACGTGCAGCTCTTTGCCCTCAAGTCTTTCTTTCTGAGTCTTTAGCTGGTTTAATACAAACAGGGATTTTTTTTTTTTTAATAATCATTGAATAGTCAGTAAATATAAATGAATTACTCAGATAATGTTGATCTTTATCTACACTTCAATAAGACTAATTTGTAAACCATCAGATTTTCCTGATTGCATTTTTCTATCCCTATTTTTCCAAGAATTAATTTGGTAGCTGCAAAGTATGAGACAAAAGAACCACAGAAAACGCACAAAGGAGTAGGCTTTCAGTGTCTGATTCCCTCCAACATTATGTGCATCATAATAAAAATGTAAAATTACTTTTAAAACTACTAAAGTGGGCTTATCAAGAGCAGAACATAATAAGACAGACAAAATCCTCTCCAACACCCCACGGCAACTATACTTCTACTGGTCTTTTTTGAAAGAAGACAAAGTGTAAATTAGTACCGAAAACCCAGTGTGACTAGTTTCAATCACTTAGAACCAGGTTGAGTGGCACCAAACATGGGAGTTGATATATTTTTAAAGTAAGCTATATGAAGGAGATTTTGAGGAACGCTTTATTTATATACTGAAAATCTTAGAAATAGAAGGGACTTCAAGAAGGCATTGCTTCATTAGTGTCTTTACTATACCCCAGACCTTATACCATCCACAAACCAGGCTGAAGAGGGTCTGCAAATAGCACTTAGCATCGACGGTCAAACTTGATGAAAGCAATTGCAATGGTTTTTAGAAAAAGATTATGGACTCTGTGAGGAGAAAAAAAATCCTCCTGGGCTTCATATGTCCCAAGTAGTGAGTAGAATATTAAGTACAGGAACCTCTTTCATCTCTTACAAACACTGGGAATTGGAATCGTGTAGAATTATAGAATGTTAGAGCTAAAGACCATCCCATTTTCCCTAATTATATATTCTGCACTAGTAAAGTGTTTGAAGGTGTGAAGGGCTTACTGAAATGAGGGCTTAAATATCTTGGCTAACAGTGACAGCAATGTCCATGCCCACATCCTTTTTTAACAAGGCGCTTTTAGTGTTTCTCTAACTAAACTCCCTTTCCTGAGCCTCTTCATGCCAAATTTCACTCTACTGCAAATTGACCGTGGTAGGTTCTGTACACTAGTCATTTTAATAATTATATAATACTTAAGAAGTAATACTATTGGATACTGAGGGAAAATCAATTATCTGAGAACTTCAGAAAGAACTGTAGCTCAGTTTTATGTCTCTGATGATACTAGGGGTTGTCTGCTTTCTTTTATAAAATATTCCTTAAGATACAGTAAATGGAGAAGAGGTCAAATATAAATAGAGCATCTTCTATGAACCAAGAGTACAAAAATGCTACTTATTAACCACCTCATGAGGTAGGTATCATCCCTACCTTAAATACGAGGAAACACAGACAGAGAAGTATATAATTTGCCCAACGTCACACAGCTTGGTTGAACCAAACTGAGAACCCAGATGTGACTCATTAAGCAGCCTATACACGATAATTCTACCACAGAATTTTCTCCTAAGAACTATTCTAAGGACACATCGGTGTTTTCCTCTTTCTTTCCCCAATGCCAATAATTACATAATAATTACGTTTTTATGTTTCATCCATTCATTTATGTAGTCTAAACTGTTTCTAAGTCTTCCTTTGAGTGAGTGGAAAGTGAACTCCTCCTCTCTACTTTCTAGTGCAAGAGAGCTTATATAAAGGTGAGACTGCTAGATGTTGCCCAGCTCTCCTACTCTCCTATAGTCACAGAAACAGTGACTTTTTCAGCTAGACAAATGGCTACCCAGAGTAAAGGCTACAGTTCCCAGCCTCCCTTGCAGCTAGGTTTAGCCATCAGAACACATTCTAGCTGTGGGATATAAACACAAGTTCACATAGAAAACTCTGGGAGCCTCCTTTAAAAGACAGCTCATGCATGTTCTTTTGCATCTCTCTTCTTCATCCCTTTCTTTTTTAACCTTCTGCCCGGAACACAGATATAATGGTTCTAGGCACCACTGTGAACCATGACAATAAGGACCCCCCTAGGGATGGGCAATTACTGAGCTGAAAGGAGCCTGGGTCCTTGGAAACTTTACAGAGTAGAGCTGCCAACTCACTCTAAGCTGCTTACCTCCAGAAATGGATGTGAGGGAAAAAAATACCAAAAAACCCCACTTCTACTTGTTTAAGCTATTCACAGTCAAACATAACCTTAGATGATACACTTACTTTCCCTTCAGACTTGAAATAGACACTCAGCTTCTAAGTACATATTTGTATAATAGCCACACTGGCAAATATGGTGGAAATAAATTATTTTTCAAGATTTAAGTTTCTCAGAATTTCCCTCTCTCAACACCAGCAATATCCCCTACCTTTCACTGTAAACTGCAGGCAACCGTCTTGTTTTCAATGACTGCGCTGCTCTCGAGGCGGACCAGCTGCTGTGTGCGAGCTAAAACTACATCCAGACGCACGTCAAAGCCAAGTTCAGCAACCGTCTGGTCCAACTTCATCTTCTCTGAAAGCTGATCCAGAAATTTAAGATACTAAACCCAAGAACAAAAAATGAAAATGGGACACAAAAGTAGAGTTAACAGGTGATCTCACAGAATCCTTGTCTTCCTCCCAAGCTTACAGGTAGTTCTCATTAAACCCAGTACAGAGCCCAGCCCCTGACTCCAGTGCTTGGTGATGAATTCTCGAACCAACTTGCCCGCTCCATGTTCTGTTCCTTGGCCAAATTCTCTTGACTCTCCTGGTCAGTGGCCTTGATGTTCAGTCTAACATTATACACTCTTCTTAACCCTGCCACCTGACAAATGTGGCATGCTCCTGACTGCATCTGCATCTCTCTGCTTTGGGTACATGCTGCTGCTACCATGACCCTCCCAGCTCCTGGGATCTACTGGCTAATCCAGCCCCTGCAATCCACTCATCCACATACCTTCCATGGAAATTTTGTCCACCTAAGTGGGTCCTGGCCTCCAAGGTGGAAATTGACCAATTAGCTGGTTGCCATTTTACACTTCTTGGTTTCTACAAATCACGCTGAAACCAGAGCTCTCCATACAAACAAACTTGGGCAACATTTTTGTTTTTGTAAGTTAAAATTCTTTAGAAAATGTCTTTAGGGCTTCCCTGGTGGTGCAGTGGTTGAGAGTCCGCCTGTCGATGAAGGGGACGCGGGTTCGTGCCCCGGTCCGGGAAGATCCCACATGCCGCGGAGCGGCTGGGCCCGTGAGCCGTGGCCGCTGAGCCTGCGCGTCCGGAGCCTGTGCTCCGCAACGGGACAGGCCGCAACAGTGAGAGGCACGCGTACCGCAAAAAAAAAAAAAAAAAAAAAAAAAATTTTTTTAAAAATTAAAAAAGTTTTTAATTATCAAAGTTAAAGGAACAACATTCTAAAATTGAGCTGTATCAGGGAATTGAGGTGTAACAGGTTAAAGTTACAAAACTACCCTAGGATGCTCCTCCACTTGATTTCTGTGGCTTATCTCATCATGCCAGATATTAATCCTTACTAAGTGCTTGATGGATAAATAAATCCATCAGTGAGCTTTCTATAACATAATTTCATGATCTGGCTTCTATCTTTGAAATTTCCTTCTCACTGCAATAACTCATCCATCTGGCATTTTTAGGCAATTATATGTTTAAATAAGTATAAAGTATCATTTCCTGATGACTAAAGCATGCCAGCTTAAAGCGCAGAACTATCTATATTTCAGTCATCAGAATGAAATTATTTGTAAGTGTATATTTTCCAATTTTGTTGAAAAGCATACGTAAAACTTCATCTCTCCTGTAAGTCACAGCCATTACAGACATTGCTGCTGTATTGTGTGACAGGACCACCACAGGCTGTTTTTGTCTCTGAATCATCAGTTTGTCACTTCTTTTTCTGGCTGTCTTGGGTCTTCGTTGCAGCGTGTGAGCTTCTCATTGCGGTGGCTTCTCTTGTTGCAGAGCATGGGCTCTAGGCATGCAGGCTTCAGTAGTTGTGGCTCGCAGGCTTCAGTAGTTGTGGCTCGGGGGCTCTAGAGCACAGGCTCAGTAGTTGTGGCACACAGGCCTCGTTGCTCTGCAGCATGTGGGATCTTCCCTAACCAGGGCTTGAACCTGTGTCCCCTGCATTGGCAGGCGGATTCTTAACCACCGCGCCACCAGGGAAGCCCCAGTTTGTCACTTCTTAATGTTGGGTCAGCCCCCCTCATGGACTATTTCATTTCTAATCTATGCAGATGAAAGTGAAATAACTGCTACTGTTTGTATTTTAAATAAAATAGAGTTGGTACCTTTCATGCGAAGGTATAAAAGCCTCTCTTTCTATTTCTACATATGACCCATCCACTCAGCATTCAAGGATCTACAGCAGGCCAAAGGGGATTAAGGCAGGACTGAGCCAAGACCCCACAGAGAAAGTGCCTTTTCAAGGACCTTGGTTAAGCCTCAGAAAGTTAAGGTTGCTGACAGGATTCCTGTACATTTTGTTCATTTGAATCACAGTTTAGCATGAATATATTCTATGTCGTATAAACCTCAATTACCTGTATTTAAATTTAATCTCTATACACCTTTGCTTTTCGATCTTACATGCCTACTATTTAAATTTACCTCAATTACCTGTATTTAAATTTAAATCTCTATACACCTTTGCTTTTCAATCTCACATGCCTATTTAAATTTACCTCAATTACCTGTATTTAAATTTAATCTCTATACACCTTTGCTTTTCAATCTTACATGACTACTATTTAAATTTACCTCAATTACCTGTATTTAAATTTAATCTCTATACACCTTTGCTTTTCAATCCTACATGCCTACTAGCCTTACTAGGCAGTAAGGCTACTATTACTATTTTATAAGCAGTTATCTATGAAAGATTCACCATGGGCAGAATCAGTTTACAAAACTTGATTGCATAACTGAAAGCTATTTTGGCATCATAACCTCAATTAAAATTAATGAGTCATCCTAATGAAGGCGGGAAGAGACAACGACCTACCTAAAAGTCTTGCCTTTGATATGCTTCTTCTATTATTTAAATAATATTTACTGATTGTTGCCCTAAGCCCTGAAAAAATCCAGAAGAAATGATTTCCCCGGGCCTCAAGAAGTTCTGAGTTGATTGGAAAAGACGAATTAAGACATGGATACAAAAAGGGTGATTAGTGCCGTGACAGAGCCAGGTACGTGTTGCGTGAAGAACTAAGCCTCTGAGGAAAGGCTTCCAGAGGAAGTGACATTGGAGCTGAGTCTTGAAGGGATAGTTATTTCTAGAAGAAGGTAAGGAGAACATTTTCTCAGAGAGACCAGCAATGTGCAATACGGATTGCCAAGGCAGCCTTCTTTTCTTTGGCCACATTACAAATTTGAATGCGGATGTCTTTGGACTCTGACCACTCCCCGCACACCCTACCAGTGCCCTGCTGGTCTCGGGAGGGTTCTGACTTTGCCACCATTGGCTTGAGATATTGCAGGTGAGAGAGAGCCTGGACTTGGAAACTGGCCAGGTCACAGCCATGTAAAGAAAGAATTAGGACCTGATCCTGTGAACCATACAGAGCCCTTGACCAGTTTTAGGATGGAGGAAGATAAGATTAGACACGCATTTTATTAAGACCACCCTGGGAGCAGTGGGGAGATCAGTTAGAAGGGTTTTTCTGCAGTCTGTGCAAATCATGCTCCGAACCAAAGCACTGCTTCTAAATTAGAGGTGGGGGAGGGGATGTTTGAGATCTATTGAGGAGATAGAATTTGCAGTGCTTAGGAATTGGCTGAAAAGAGGGAAGCATTGCAGATGCCTCTCAGGATTTTGGCTTGGGCGACTGAGGCAGATAACCTCACCATCACTGAGGCAGGAGAGCGACAGATTTGAGGAGAGGGAATCATTTTTGTTTTGAATATGTTTAGTGCAAGGTGTTGGTGGAACATCTAGGTGTAGATGTCCGGCAGTCAAGATATCTTCCAATTTAATGTATTATAATCAGGTGCAGGATTTCCTTTCAAGCTCAAACTTTCAACCAACACACCTTTTTCAGACATCTGTTCAAGAAATTCCCTTCACCCTCCCAAATTCTTCAAATGTATCCCCATCCTTACTCACAAAACCCCTACTTGATCCAAACCCTTATTATCTTCTGATCAAAGCTATCCTAAGAATCTCCCAACGGGCTCCTTCCTTTAGCCTCTAGACTCTCAGAGCCACTCTGCCTTCAGAAAAACCTTTCTTTTAGTCAGAACCCTCCTGTGGCTTTCCATTACCCACAGGATAAAGCCTCGCGTAATCAGCCTGCCCTACCTCAGTTATTCCCGCCACCTTGAGAGCTGCCTCCTGCCTCTGCCTCAGCAAGCATCACGTTCCAGTCTCCCTGTCACCCTCTATTTCTTCATCCTTCCTGCTGTCCCTTCTGCCTCAAATTCCTTCCCCACCGCTCCTGCCTGCCAAGTTCCTACTCATTCTTTCAGGCCCCTCTCACATGTGACCACTTGTGTGAATATGGCTCATTTCCTCACACACAGAAATAGGGAAGAAGTAATTACTCCTTTATCTGAATTCCTGTCGCATTGTATACCTAGCTTGATTGTAGCACTAACTGTACTAATTGTGCCCTGATTTGCCCATCTCATCCATGACACTAGGATTTCTCACAGACACCTCTTAGGCATCTTTGCATATCCAACCCTCAACACAGGCATGATGCATCCTCAACTTTTTTAAGTACAGAGGATGAAAACGAATGAGTGTCCAGAGTACAGATTTTTCAACTGAAGAGTATTTTTCATGCCAAACTCTGCACCTATGCTCTTGAGCCCATTTGTCTCTCTTTTCCTTCCCCTACAGATGCCCGTGACAAGGTACAAACATGTACCTTGCCATGCTGTCCGATAAAACCTTTCTCTGATCCTGTTTTTCACAGCTTTGGCTTCATGCCTCTTCTCTTTGGTCACCAGACTTGGTAGTCATCTAAGTCTCTAGCCCTTCTCTTCCTAGTCACCCCTCCTATTCTCCACTGCTCTACTAAAACTGCTGCTCAGATATCACCAATGGTCTTCCCAGGGTCAAATGTTAAGCTTAGACACCATCTCTTCTCACTCTACTTTCTTTGCCTCCCGCTGGGTTATCGCCACTATTGTTTGTGAGTCTCTCCACACTGCAATCCCAGCTCCACAGTGATGAGATCTTTTTAAAATACTGTGATGTTCAAAAGTCACTTATTACAAGTCATAGTCTACAGAATAAAGAGAACTCAATCTTCTTAACCCAAGCCATTCCAGTCTGCTCGCCTGCCAGAGCCTCACCAAGAATGCCATGTTCCAGCCACATGGCAACGGCTACTCTGCGCTCTCTGAATATACTATGCACTTGCAACTTTCATGCTTTTGTTCAAACTGTTTCCCGTACAGTATCTGCTCTTTCTCTCCACTAAAATCCTACTTATCCTTCAAAGATGAACTCGATTATCTCCTCCACTGTAAAATCCTCCCCTCATCCAGAATTTATCACTCCCTTCACTGGACTCCTAGAGCACTCTGTTGATCAATACATCTATTATAACACTTATAGCCTCATAGTACCGCAAATTATTTGAATGTCTGTCTCCTCTATTGAATCATGAGGTTTTATGGTCAAGAACTGCGTGTTATACCTTACCCCCAAAACCTTCAGAGTCTCATATATAACAGACGTTCAGTAAATACCTGTTGAATTTAATTGAATTAACTTGAATCAAGGAAGCTCCAAAGAATAGGAAGGAACACCAAAACAACATCCACTGTTCCTTGAAATTTACTCAGAACTCAGAACTTAACCAATCTACCAAAGCACTGTAAAATTCAAAATATTTGCAGGTGAAGGGCTTCCCTGGTGGTGCAATGGTTGAGAGTCCGCCTGCCAATGCAGGGGACGCGAGTTCGTGCCCCGGTCCGGGAAGATCCCACATGCCGCGGAGCGGCTGGGCCCGTGAGCCATGGCCGCTGAGCCTGCGCGTCCGGAGCCTGTGCTCCGCAACGGGAGAGGCCACAGCAGTGAGAGGTCCTCGTACCGCAAAAAAAAAAACACCAAAAAAAAAAAAAAATTCTGCAGGTGAAATTTTATACTGCAGCAGATGTTTCCACCCACGGACATGCCCTCAGGTTATTACTTTTTGTTTCTCGAAATTCAAGTTGTCTCGCAAAACTCGCCAGAGACCAGCTCTCCCTCCAGATGTGTCAGCTGACCCTGAAGAGTCTCCAACTTGTTTTCTGCTTTCTGGGCTCTCTGTAGAGCTCTCTGGTGAAACCCAGACTCATTTCCCAACTGTTCAACAAGCTCAGATATTTGGGCTTCAAGCTGGGAGACCATCTGGAAACAAAGAAACAGAACAAGGATAAGCCTTGTTTCAGATGCAACAAAGTGTTAAAATCTACTGCTTAGCAAAAGGGACAAAACTATTTATAACACCAGCTTCCAGATTCTTTGTAACAATTAGCTTAAAAAATATAGGTAATGGATAGCTGTATTTGCCACTGCTTGAAATAAATCTACATTCGTTAGCTAATAAAATATTTTACTGGTATTTTTAAATTTTATATAATTCCTTAAACAGGCTCCTCGAGAAGTATTTCGGGAAAACACTTACTCCTAAAACTACTATTAATTTAGGAGTTTCAAAGCTTAGCTGGAAAAAGAATTCAGACAGAAAGTACTTTGAAAACTCAAAGTTTTCAAAGTACTTTGAGTTTTCCAGAGAAACTCTTTCACCACATATACCAGATTAAGATTATACAATGAGGTAATCTTGATAGGTAACCTTGAGACATTATCAGGAATTCAAGTGCAGAAAGATATTTTTTCAAGCTTTTTTTAGAACTTTCTATTGCATATTGGTTGCTCATGCACTGAAATGCAGTGGTTCTGTGTCTGTGCTGAATAGTTCTGGAGTAATGTCATCGCTTCAGCATTTGAAAGGGCAAAATTCCACTAATATAATGACTCTAAATACGGTCAATAGCAGAGTATAAGAAGGCTAGGAAATCTGATCACCACCTCCTCTTCTAAAGCATAAAATCACTATTTCTCCATTAAAGGACCCAGAACTCTACACAACCCCCTACCTTGCCCAACGCTTCCATCCCTTCCTGGAGTTTCCCTCTCTGTCCTGACCTTCCCTTAAACCAAGAACTTAAATTTACCAAACACCTCAAGTACACTCTGAGATTACTCAAATTGATTCTGCCAAATCCAATTTTCAGAAAATGTTGAATTCAATAAAAACACCAAGTTTGAGGTGATAAATTTGTTTGGCTTTGATGGTTTATTTTGGAAGAAGAAAGGGGAAAAGTCGTAGATATTTACATAATACTCAGTACCATTCTCACAGAAATTAATATATCTTGACGGTCTCAGGCTTACAGTCTCAGGTTAAAAAAAAAAAAATTCCTGTTTGCCTATCTACAAACAACCAAATTTAAAGGCAAGAAGACATTCAAGCTGTCTTCAACTATTTTAAAAAGCGATTATATAGAAGAATAGTAGGGTTTGTTCTGAGTTGCCCTCAGAGGTCAAGTTGAGGACCAAAAGGTATAAATCAAAGAATCTTACTCTAATGTAAAGGATTTCCCCCAGCCCCAATAATTTCAAAGTGATACATACTCACTGTACAAGAAGATTCATTACGGACAAAAACAAAAGTGTAAATAAGCAAAACTAATTCCCATGATCCCACCACCCAGAGGCAACAGCTATTAATATTTTTTAATAATTTATTTGTATGTATTGCTAAAATATAGTTGAGATATTATATATGCAATTTTGCGGGTCTGTTTTTACCTCATATTTTAAGCATCTTCACATGTCAGGCAGTGGAGTTCCCAGTCACTGGAGAAGGCTAGAATTTGGCCAATCATTTGTTAAGAATGTTATGGGGGGCTGAAGTGCTATAATCAGGAAGGCTAAATTACTTAATCTCTGAACTCTCTAATTTTGTCCTTCTAAGGCTCTCAAGGTCCGAGGCCTATAATTCAATTAATTCCATACTCCTTTGGGTGTTTGAAATCAGCTACTTGATGGCAAGCTGCTCAGCATCATATCCAAGGAATTCCATTTCCAAAGGAAATGTATGATTTCATTATAGACTATGAGGCTCTAAGAACCCCCATTTCATATTTCCTACCTTTAGTGCAATAGTAGCACTATTGCATTAAGTACCATATACAAAGTAACCTACAGAACAAGGGCTATCAAACAACGTCCTCAAGATACCGGCTCCTAAGGGGCTGTCTAATGACATTATGTTGTACAAGGGATGACACGTTTCCGAGCAACTGAAAATGTGGTTTCACATTGGACTCCCAGTAGAAAGTAAGTCTTTCTACCTGAAGATCCTTCCACAGTTCTCCTATCTCACAGTTGACCTGGCAAAGAGAATGAAACCAAAGAGCGGACAGAAAACTGTGTGATCACTTAGCCACAAAACTGTGTGATCACTTAGCCACAGTCAACACGCTGCAGACCTTACCAGAGGAGAGCAAAGTCTTCAATGGAAATCAATCAGTAATGACCTCGAGCAAGTGCAGTAACTAGACTCAGAGAGTGATAATGACCCTGAAGGAAGAAGCAGACACCTGATGTAGACCAGACTGTGGAACAGGGACTTGAAAGTCAGACAGTCCTGATTTCAAGTCCTCACTCTACCACTTACCAGCGTGTTAACTGAAGCAAGAAATTAACCTCTCTGAAACTCACAGACTTTGCTATGATGAGCAGATGAGCTAAATCAGATAATTCGAGTAGCCTGGTATTCCATACCAAACTGAAGTTCAACATATTGCATCCACTTTTTTTTTCTTAACATCTTTATTGGAGTATAATTGCTTTACAATGGTGTGTTAGTTTCTGCTTTATAACAAAGTGAATCAGCTGTACGTATACATATATCCCCGTATCTCCTCCCTCTTGTGTCTCCCTCCCACCCTCCCTATCCCACCCCTCTAGGTGGTCACAAAGCACTGAGCTGATCTCCCTGTGCTATGTGGCTGCTTCCCACTAGCTATCTGTTTTATATTCGGTAGGGTGTATCTGTCCATGCCACTCTGTCACTTCATCCCAGCTTACCCTTCCCCCTCCCCCTGTCATCAAGTCCATTCTCTACGTCTGCGTCTTTACTCCTGTCCTTCCCCTAGGTTCTTCAGAACCTTTTTTTTTTTTGATCCCATATATATGTGTTAGCATTCGGTATTTGTTTTTCTCTTTCTGACTTACTTCCCTCTGTATGACAGTCTTTAGGTCCATCCACCTAACTACAAATAACTCAGTTTCATTTCTTTTTATGGCTGAGTAATATTCCATTGTATATATGTGCCACATCTTCTTTATCCATTCACCCGATGATGGACACTTAGGTTGCTTCCATGCCCTGGCTATTGTAAATAGAGCTGCAATGAACATTGTGGTACATGACTCTTTTAGAATTATGGTTTTCTCAGGGTATATGCCCAGTAGTGGGATTGCTTGGTCGTATGGTAGTTCTATTCTTAGCTGCATCCACTTTTATCATCAGTATTACTCCTCCAGTATGTGGGTTCACTCAGTCCTTTGCTTTTGTCATAAAGAGTTTATGGAGCCTTTCAGGAATTATGTTATATTGTGTTTCTCAAACTCTTTTCAGCCCATAGAGCCTGTTTTTCAACTAGAAGTCTTTCTGGGAAAGACAAATAAGGAATAAATGTGTTGAATCAGAGGTGAGGGGGTCCCTCCTGCATCCTCACCCTGGGTGGACCTGAAAGTGTTCCACGGAACCTGCAGACTCAGCAGAGTATAACTTTTAAAAACACCAGTATGGCTGACCTGTGCAGAACCTACCCAACCTCCCTGCCAAGATTCTGGCATCCAGAGAGGAGCAAACAGCTATGAACTTCCCTATATTCTATGCACCACAGAACTTACCTTCATACGCTTACCTAGATCTACATGAATATGATACCACCAAGTCTTTTCAAAGTTAAATTTACATATTTTTATTCAAATAAATTAACATTCCAATCTGACTCAGTTCTTGGGAACATCAAATGCCAGTGCCCAGGTGAATATATGTGTCCCATCAAAACTGTAAAGTTGTGTTGTGTTTCTCACACCAAGAAATGTGATTTTCTTTCCTTTTTTTTTTCTTTCTCCTCCTTTTTCTTACTGTCATTTGTTAATATATCCCTGACACTCTGTGGGACAAGATGTGCCAGGGATTTCAACACTAGAGATACATGGAATAGGGCAGGGAAGCGGGGGTGGGTTGTAATAAAGAATACATATCTCAATTTTTTAAAAACAAAAAGAAGGCCCTGAAATAAACCATGCTTCAAAAACAAGCAGCTTGGATTTTGGAAGTGAAGTCATAATGCCCTAACAGAATTAATTTACTTCCCAAGGACAAGTAGTCGTTGATTTTTCCAGAGAGGCACTTTTGCCCTAAGATTAAACCCAATGGAAACACGAGAGCTCAAAACGCAAGAGAGAGCCACTTAGGTCACTTAAGGGCCAGTGCCTTTTGGACATGAACAATTCTCTTCTGATTATTCAAACTAGATTTTCACTTAAGAAATACAAAAAATAAGTTATCAGGAACCAATCAAATTATCCTTCCTTCTTGTCAGTTTGTATGGCCAACTTTACTGACAGGCTAGCCCTACACCTGTCATACATAATAAAAGTATGACATACATAATAAAAGTTGTGTATGTCAACTTTTATTATGATTTGAATTGGGTCACCCCAAAAGAGATGTGGGGAAGTCCCCTGGTGCCTCAGAATGTGACCTTATTTGGAAACAGAATCTTTACAGAGATAATCAAGTTAAAATGAGGTTTTGAGGATGGGCCCTAATCCAGTATGACTGGTGTCCTTATTAAAAGAGGAAATGTGGAAAGAGAGACACACAAGTAGAAGGAAAATTATGTGAAGACACAGAGAGATCATGATCCATAAGCCAAGGAATACCTGAGGCTACAGAAACTAGGTGAGAGGTGTGAAACAGATTCTCCCCTGTGGCACTCAGAAGACACCAATTCTAACACCTTAACTTTGGACTTCAAGCCTCCAGAACTGTGAGACAATAAATTTCTGTTGTTTAAGCCACCCAGGTAGTGGTACTTTGTCATGGCCATTCTAGGAAATTAATACACTATAGAGGCTGGGAGAGCTGAAATCTCTATCTGTGTACTTTCCCAGATGCCCTTGTAGCCAGGGGTGACTATATAACATAATACTGGACAATTAAATGTCAAAGGAAGTCTACTTGAAGCTTCTGGGCAAACGTTTGGTTTAGGATATTGGAGGATTAAGGACAGAGCAGAATGATGAGATCAGAAGGGGGAGTGTGGGAGTTGCAGAAACATCTCAGGTCCTTTATGGCATCGGATTGTTTCCCCAAAGCTCCCACACCAGACTGGAAAAGCTCCAGTGGAGGAGCTAGAACAGACGAGCTGTCTAGATAAATTTTTGTAAGGTTGTACTAATTTGTCTATAATTAAGGAGACGACATGGAAATCACTCATGGTCCTGTCCTCTCTGTGATTAGCCAGTTTGGAAACATCTAAAAGTTAAAAAACAAAAAACAAACAAAAGAACACTTTGCCTCAAGATTCTAAACTAAAATCTGAAAATGTCACGGCTTCCTGTCATTGTGTAAGAAATCATTAATTCAAAAACACTTGTTACGAGTGTCCTGAAATTTCAGGCTGCATAACATCGAAATACTCATTTAGAATTCCTGGGAACCCGACAGTAGAACATTCCTCTAAGAGAGTGGTTTTCAACTAGGGACAATTTCACCGCCCACCCCCCAACCCCAGGGACATTTTGCAATGTCTAGAGACATCTTTGCTGGTCACAAATTGGGAAAAAGAGGAGGTACTATCGGTATCTAGTGGGTAGAAGCTGGAGATGCTGCTAAACATCCTACAATACACAGAACGGCCTTTACAACAAAGGATTATCCAGCTCAAAATGTCAATAGCTGAGATGCCCTGTTCTAAGACGTAGTAAAGCATTTAAAAAGAAAATTAGATTTTGTTATAATCAGAAAAGCGTGGAACAAGTAGAAATGACTTACTGAAAAAGTGTGGGTGGTGTGTCCTGAGTTCTACCCCGAACTGCAAATCGAGGAGAGTGAAAATGAATGGCGAAGAGGCAAACAAGAAAAGCAACGTTCAGCAAGTAGGAGTCACGGTGAAGGGGAGAATTTGCCAGGCCCCGAGCACAAGGGTATTACTCAACAGTGGACTGTGTGTTTATCCACGGCAGCTGGCAGGGCGTTGCAGCCTCCTCAACAAACAGATTCATCAATCTGCAAAGCTCCCATTCCTCAGAAACCTTTCTAAGACAATATATGGAATCCATTTTCCCCTGATTTTACTTGAAGATGAGTCACACAAGGTGCCAGCTATATGCTTGATTTCAGGCTTCTAAATAGTGAGAGCAGCTATTGAAAAAAATTACAGGGTAGGAAAGGTGGACAAAGGCACTAAAAACACTGAATCATTCTCATTTTTATGAGGAGAGGGAGAAGGCATATCCAGCTTAACCAATTTACATCATTTTGCTTTAGAAAATAAACATATACTTAATACTGACAACTTTATGCCATGTTTCACATGCTGGAATTAAAACAGTTTTAGGAAAACATTTGGGAAAATAGAAGAGGGAAGCAATAAAATGAAATGGCAAAGATCCATTAGCTATTGAAGTTTGTCTATTACTATTCAAGGTAAGTCACTTGAAGTTCTTCCCAGTCCTGTAAATAATTCCCTTCCCCAGTCCAGGACCTATATGTGTACTGCATCACAAGATAAACTGAGTCACTCTCAGAGACCCACACGTGTTACAGGGGAGAACATTTTATATCCACAGAGAATCCTACACTTGAACAAAGGAGTCACTAGGGCTGCTCCTGGAGTACATGTGAATTTTGCAGAGTTTTAAAGGGAATTTAAAATGTTTTATCGGGACTTCCCTGGTGGCGCAGTGGTTAAGAATCCACCTGCCAATGCAGGGGACACAGGTTCAACCCCTGGTCCAGGAAGATCCCACATGCCACGGAGAAACTAAGCCCATGCACCACAAGTACTGAAGCCCACGCACTCTAGGGCCCACAGCCACAACCACTGAGCCCACGGGCTGCAAATACTGAAGCCTGTGCACCTTGAGCCCGTGCTCCACAACAAGAGAAGCCACTGCAACGAGAAGCCCGCGCACCACAATGAAGACCCAACGCAGCCAAAAATAAATAAATTTATTTTTTAAAGGAAGTTTCATCACTAAAGGAAATTTACAAATGCAGCCCTGAACTCTGAGTTAGTGATCACTTTGAGTTTTTTAGGATCATTAAAAGGAGGAAAAGTGCATTTTCTCCTTTCAAGCAAAAAAATGAACTCAATAGAAGAAATAGTTCCTAATGGAATTATACATAGAATTTGGATATCATTTACCTTAAAACCTCATTAATTAGGACTTCAATAATCTGGATTTGAGGATAGTTGAAACAGAGTGTGGGCTGAAATTAACTCAGCTGAGCGAAGCTTTATAGAAAAGGAGACTTGTTAATAATATAAATAAGGTAACAAAATGAAGCAAGCTTCAATCATATGTGTGATTTAAACCATTTTTAAATCCACTTGTTAAATAGGTCCCCTGAAAGACTGTTCCAGGTACCAACACATCAGGAAAAGGAGGAGAGAAGGGGAAGAGGGGCCAGGGCAGCAACAGTTAATGTTTATTGCTGCTATTTGCCAGGCAGTGTGTTAAGGACTTCCTAACCATTATTTTTCATTTAATGCTTACAACAGACAATAACATAAAGAAGCAGATACAGTTACAGGTCCAGGAACTCTTACCCACAAGTCCAAAATCCAAAAGGATCTGAAAGCTGACGGGTTTTTTCCAAAAGTTATTTGCTAGCAAAGCTTGACCTGACAGGATTTGGCAACAAACCCTGACCTGAAGTGACCGAGGCTATTCACAGTCTTGGTGGGTCCCAGGCAGCAGAGCTGCTCACAGCTTTTGCCACAGAAGATGAATGTGGTGATTATGGGGTGCTGTCCCAGACCCCACTGAGGAGGAATGTGGAAGGGTGCTTTCTCCATTACCTTTCTGGGGACAATTTTACCTTCCTAAACGCTGAAAAATTCTGAATTCAAAACCACAGCAGGCTCCAAGGGTTTCAGACAAGGGGTGTGGACCCTGGGCTGTTCCTGTACAGCAAGGCCAGGAAACAAAATCTCAGAGGCTGTCCTCTCAGGAACCTGCCCAAGGTCACATCTGGAGCAAGTGAGTGTGCAGTAGAGACCAAGATTCAGCCCGGGTAGCTCTGAGTCCAGAACCCGCATGGTAGTATGCGGTCAGGCTTCGGGAGTATAATATATAATTGAAAGTAGTACAACCACATTTAAATGCTACTTTTAACTAACTCAGACAACCCACTCACTTACTGAGTATGCTGAATGAAGGAGCTGACTGTCCTTAAGAAGCCTGTACGCAGCCATCACCCACTCACCCATTTCCCGCTCTCTTCCCGGCCGCCCATTTCTCGAATCCTCTCCAGAATGGCATCCTCCGTGGGCCTCAGCGTGCCCGAGCTGCTCCTCAGGAGGGCTGCAATTTTCTCCCTAAATGAGGAGTACTCGCTCTGCGAGGCTGTGGCTGCAACCACACTGGCCTTTGAACGCTTCTCCAACTCCATAGAGCTTCTCTTCAAGAGGCCCAGCTCCTGCTTTGAGGCATCCCAGACCCGCTGGCCAGCAAGCAGCCTTTCTTGGAGGATCTTAACTTCCCTTTCAAGACCTTCTTTCGCCTCTACAGCACTGAGCAAGTCCCAAAATAATTTCGGAAAGTGAGGACAGTAGCACTATCAACTAAGGAGGGGAGCCTGCATTTACTTCTCATTTACCTTGCTTGCTAATAAGTTCAAGGAGTTAGGGTTAAACGCTCATTCCATTTTTAATTTTAGGTGCCCTATCCTCTCTTCATAAAGTTGTTCAATTGTAAAGCTATGTTAGGTAAATTAAGATGTCTGAAAAAGAGAAGGGATATAAAATTAGGGCTAGAAAAAAAAAGAAGGAAACTGACATATAAGCCTTTTCTATGTGGACCTCTGGAAAGAGTTAACTAAAACAAATCATTGGCTAACATACTAGTAGATTCGATCCATGTATAGAATATGTTTACAGGCCTATGTGTTCTTAAGTTTGGTATAAATGGAAATTGATGTTGAGTAAACAGTAAACCCTCAGAGTCCTAATAAGTTACTAAACGTTATTTGAATGAAGATGTCTCCCCTTAAAACTATTTTAAATAACAGGTAGAATTATCATAAAAAGTCATTTTATAAAGGAGAGTAGGGCTTCCCTGGTGGCGCAGTGGTTGAGAGTCCTCCTGCCGATGCAGGGGCCACGGGTTCGTGCCCCAGTCCGGGAAGATCCCACATGCCGCGGAGCGGCTGCGCCCTGTGAGCCAGGCTGCTGGGCCTGCACGTCCGGAGCCTGTGCCCCGCAACGGGAGAGGCCACAACAGTGAGAGGCCCGCATACCGCAAAAAAAAAAAAAAAAAAAAAAAAAAAAAGGAAAGTAAAATCTTTCTTTCAATATTCATTGACTGTGTATCCCCCTGTCTCATAAAAATAAAACCAATACTGATAGAACCTGAAGAAAGGAAACAGAAAGGAGTAGCCATTTGGTGGGTGGGAGGATTAAAAGTTAGAGGGAGATAGAGTACCATACTGAGAAGAATAATTTCAAAGAATATGATATGTATGATTAGGTTTGTAAAAATAAAGGGCATTGAGAAAGTTACCAGTACACCTCCTTCTATTTACTATATGCAGAATGGTCCAAAGAGGCATAAAAAGGATATCTTTAAAATTCATTTAAAAAAAAAAAAAAACACTTGTGGACATCAAGTTCCCAAGTAAGTGAATTCACATCAAATAAGATTAAGCAGTCGGTTAGCCAGCACTGCTATAATACTGTAGTCTAGGTAAATGGCAAACATATTTTTGGTTTTTATTTAAAATAGTATGTTAGGGGCAAAAATAACTAAAATGAAACAATATCGTCAAATAACAGATTCTACGTCTAAACTGGCCAGTTAACATTTCAGGCTGCTAGTTAAAATGCAATCATCCCTTTTGCATTAGAGCTTGAAGACAGGAAGAATGTTACTTGAAATGCTACCTCCTACTTTTTATTTTAAAAAAAAGAAAGAGAATATCTTCCTTTTTTTTTTCCTGGTGATTTGTTTTTAAATCAAGGAAGTCTTGGGCATCAAGTTGAATGAAAAGTCATCCAGTGGATGTAGGTAGTTAGAGAAAGCTGCCCCTTTCAGAGATGTAATAACTAAACTAATTATAGAAACTAGTTTGTGAAATGCTTTGCTTTTCCAGGTCCTGGCACCAGCTCCATTTCCCCACTGCCTTTCCAAACCAGTCGTCTGTGCAGAGAAGTCCCATTATTACTGCTAATTAAATTATGTACACTTTATCACAAATACAATATTTTAACACGTTACAGATTTCTTTTCAGATAGTAATACAGTAGCTGCTCAATTAGAGTAACTAGTATCAGCATTGGTGATAATAAATTGGGCCCATGTATTACTTAGAAACTACCATCTAATGTGTGGTTAGTAAACTGAGGTCCTAAATTCGATGAAAATTAATCCTAATCCCCTCAGAGTTCTAAAACTCGATAGGATTACATATTAACTTTTACATTGAAAGAAAGTCCCTAATGCAAAAGAGGGGAGTTTCCATGACCAATGGAGAGATATTTTTAACCAGGAATTTACAAAAGATCCTAAAAATACACAAAAAATATATCAGACACTTGAGTACTACAGACTCACTGTCAGTTTGGAATAAACTAATCAATCGGCAGCTTACAGCAGGAGACCAATAAACACAATTAAAATATTTCAGCTATGAGGCATTTTTTCCACCCCAATATCAGACTGTTTTCTCACTGCCTTAGAGACCAGGGTCAAAACAGTCTTCTTTAACAAATCCAAAGCACAAATGCTTATGTCTAATAAAAATCAGAAAATTCCTTTGTGGTCATAGAATATAGTGGCACATGGCAGCAGGTCAGATTTTTTTTTTTTTCTGGACACATTTCAGCCCAGTGAACTATATGCTGTTTCTCGTATGAAATGCAGACTCGGGAGCCAGCGACAAGGCCTTGGGGACCTGCTCCCCAGTGCTCTGATTAAGCGCTTCAGAATTCATAGGCACGCGGCCGATCTGCTGGAAACAGATGTCCTCAGACTGAAAATGCAATTACTTGTAGAGCTATTGGGAGACAGCGGCTAGAGTAGAGTCTGGTTGCATGGCTACCTCAAGGATACATTGAAGTAATGTGACATTGGTGTCGCCGGCCAGGACCTCGGGACTGCTGTCAGAGCACACTGACACACAGAACAAGAAACAAGTAGCTGCCTCAGAGCAAAATCAGGGCTGACCTCCACAGAAGAAATCGTACTGGCAAATGAGCACAGACCCTATCGAGACAGTGACAGGGATCACTTTAAAAAATTTTTAAATTAACAAATCTTTAGATTCAGTGCTACTAATGCAACAAATGTATAATGATGCCTTCACAATTACTTTTAACAAAAACATTTGTAAATAATATGATCAAGGTGTTCAATTTGACTTCCCAATTAAATGCATTAAGTAATGAAATCATTCAAAGGTTTGTGTTTTTAAAACACAATTGATTCCTATTACAATGTCGCGAACCATCCTATGCACTTGGATATGCCTGAGATCAAACTGCCTCTCAAAACTAAAATGACTAATGATCATCAGGGTAGAAAACCTCTGGCTTGAGCTTAATTCATCCAACCCTAGACAAATTTCATAAAATTAAAAATTCGTTGGTTATTTCTACCTACTGCAGTTAACATTAACAAATAAACTCAGAAATTCCCCCAAACATGTCCTCTCATACATTGCTGGTGGAAGTGTGAATAGGTATAATTTTGATATAAATATCTAAAACATGTAATATGCACAATATCCTTTGGCCCTGTAATTCCATGATCTATTAAAGTGGAAGCTGCAGAGTAACATTTTACTTCAAAATGAGGAAGACCTTTCCCAAATCTGAGCTGTCCCAGTGGCATTATCAACCTTGGAAAATAATAAGAATTCAACTTAAATTTGAAATTCCCATTATTGACAAACCTGATACAAGTTAACAATAAATTTAACTGTCCATGAGGCCAGTGTGTTCCTGGGCTTCACTTCAGTACTGCAAAACGCTCTGCCCTGAACTGGTCAGACTGTGCCTGGAGGACCATGGACAGTTCCCAGCTGAACTTTTAAGAGGGACATTGTCAAAATAGAATGAGTTCTGCATCACATGCTAGGATTAGACCCATAATAAAAATATTTATGTAATCATGTTATTTTAAATTCTGTTTTAATTTACTTTAAATGTGTTGAATGAACCTAAAGACAAAGCATTGAAAACTTAATTATAGTTACAGAACAGAATGAAAATATTACAAACCTTGACAAGGTAAATACAATAATAAAATAAAAACTGGAATGCAGAACAATGGGAGTAAAAAGTCGGAGGCATTAAATTCATCATATATCATAGCAGAACATCTAAAAATACTATATCAGGTTGTTGAATCAGGAACAGAAATGTATTGTTTTAAAGTCTTAATGGTAATATCAGAGGTTCAAACAAGAGTTTGAGGCATCTCTCCTTTGTGGAAGGAGAGATGATTTTTAATTTTACTTTGGAGCCTTATGAACATTTTTAATCTTTTATAATATGAGCAGATATTAGTTTAGTGTTTATTTTCATTTTAATTACTCACCATTTTAGAATGGTGAGCTCCTCTAGCTTATGAGCACCAGGACCCAGACCTACCTACCATCCTGTTGGCACCAGTACCAGGATGCCTCAGGCCAAGTAGCTAGCTGGGAAGGGATACAGCACCACTAGTAGGATGGCTGGCTGCCTTAGAACCCCATAATCCACTAGCCCACCCACCAGAATGCCCAGGACCAGGCTCCACCCACCTGTGCACCTGCACTAGCCCTGGAACCCCCAAGACCTGCAGCCAGCTGACATTACTTGGCCACAGCCACTAGGAGGCCAACACCAGCTCTGAGATACCTTGGGCCCCTCAGCCAGCCACCCCAGAAACCAACCCCACCCACAAGCAGGCAGACAACAGACCCAGGACCACTGCAACCCAGGAACCTGCCATGTCAGGACCCAGCCCACACACGAAGGAGCCAACACCAGCTCTGGGACACCCTGGGCCACTCAGCCAGCACCAATCCCTAGAAACATACAATCTTCCAAGACTGAATCAGGAAAAATAGAAAATATGAACAGACCAAACATCAGTAATAAAATTGAATCAGTAATTTTAAAACTTCCAACAAACAAAATTCCAGGATCAGATGGCTTCATAGGTGAATTCTACCAAACATTTAGAGAAGAGTTAACACCTATCCTTCTCAAATTGTTTCAAAAAATTGCAAAGGAAGGAACACTTCCAAACTCATTCCACAAGGTCATGTATTATCCTGATACCAAAACCAGACAAAGAATCACTAAAAAGAAAATTACAGGCTAATACCACCAATAAACATAGATGCAAAAATCATCAACAATAAATTAGCAAATCAATTTTAACAATACATTAAAAGAATCATACCCATGATCAGGAGGGATTTATCCCAGGGATGCAAGGATGTTTCAACATCTCCAAATCCATCAGTGTTATATACTACATTAATATATTGAAAAATAAAAATCATATGATCATCTCGATAGATGCAGAAAAAGATTTT